AGGTGAAATTCTTATTTTTTAGTTAACTAATCTTCTTTTGTTGATTTATAATTTACAGGATAGATGCTCCTCAATTAATCTTGTTATTAGTGTGTTATATTTGCTTAGAAAATTTAGGTAATCAATCATGTACTTGCTGTTGGAGTGTTCATATTGAATCATTATGTTACACTACAAAAACATTTGGTATTCTTCGAATGTTCCTTTTGATTTTAATCCCATTGGCCAAAATTTTTTTATTCTTCATTGTCATTCTTATCTCTGTCGTCAAATCTTAAATACTTCTATGTAATACCTAATTTATTTTCTACTTCATTTTTTTGCTTCGAATTTATTTATAAAGAAAATAGTGGTACCGTAGTTAACTCAAATCACAAAAGGAAAAACAAATATTATTACTTAAAAACAAATAATCGATTACAACTCGCACACTAAAACGGGAATTACAACAAGTACGACACAAAAACTCACACTACGGCAGATTTAAGTTGGTGGTGGTGGCTGTTAGGCGTTTGGAAGTGTTGGTAGATGGTTGTGATGGTTGGAAGTAACAGGAAAGAGATTTTGGGTGGCTGTTTTGAGGGTGGCAGCAAGCATGGGATGGCTGGACAGTGATATGAGAGCAAGGGGAAGGGCTTGTGGGGCTGCAACAATGATGCCAATGGCGGGACAGTGGTAAAACAGCAAAAGGAAGGATTGGTGGGCTGCGACAGCAAAGGAGAGGGTCGGGGACAACGAAAACAACAAAGCAAGTGGTTGGGACAGTGAGGGACAGCTAGGAAGAAGGGCGCTGGAATGCGGGCAGCAAAGTGGCTGGAAAGGTTGTGGAGGAGTTTGGTAAGAATAAATATCCTTGTGGTATCGAAATACAGCCGGAGACCAGTCGATTCTTGGGGGATCGGTCACCACCTCAGACGAATTATAGCAGGAGCATCTTCTCATCTTCAAATATAGACAATTTGAAGTCGGAAACAATTAAAATCTGAATTCTATCAAAGCACACAACATTCATGTAATAGAAGTTAGTATATAGGAATATAAGGTTATAGGAAAGAAAAGAAAATAAAAAAGAAAGGTAAAATAATAGGAAAATACTTGGATAGGAAAGGGAGGTAGGCAAAGAAAGTGATAAAAAAGGCAAGGAATTAAATAGAAAAAAAAAACCCGCGACATTGTAGCAGCTACATACCGCTCACGTCAAATCGAAGATGAACTTTCACCATTGAGTTGAATCATCAATGAATCTGACATAATAGAGCAGGCCTCCAAATCGAATAGTGGAGAGATTCCTTACATCTATGTGTACAAGTTCCAATTTTCTTAACATGCATCTTTCAAATTTTGGGAAGTGCATTTTTTTCTACCCAAAAAATGTATTATTCACAAAGTAAATATCAAAATAGTCCCTTAATTATCCATGTGTATTGAATCTGCTCAAAGAGTATCACATTTCTTCAATTTTATCCTTCGATTATACGATATTGATTCAAAATATTGTTACGTAGAAATTGTGCTACTAAATTGATTCCAATTTTGTCCCTCAATAATCACTAATGGACTATTTTTCATCATTTTTAGAAAAATGATATTTTGGGACTCAATTGATTACATACAATTAGCTGAGGAACTATTTTGAAATTTAACCCTTTATAGAAACCAATTTTTATGGACGCTAAGCAAAAAAAAAAAGTTTCCTTTTGACGCGAGAATCTTCATTCTTCCTTCGCTTGTGCTATAATGCTGATGTAATGAATTAATTCTTAAATCAACCATTACTAATGTATCTATGGCACTTTTGGTTATGTATAGGATGCTGACTTTATATCTCTATACTTTTAAACTGTAAAATAATCCTTTTTTTTAATTTTTATAAACCTCTAAGAAATGCTGTGGAATGCCCTCATCATCAAGCTGCATTATTGATGTCATGTATCTAACATTTTGATACTTCTAAATAACAACATCCTTCTTTAGAATATTCAAAGGTTCTTCATCAACAGAGTGAACATTGGTTGAATTTGATAGATACTAAATTCTATTTATAATATTTTTGTATGGTTGGGCAAAACAAAACCTTAGAGCCTTGAATTCAGAGCAGTTAAATTATTGAAACTAGAAATTTAACTTGAGATTATGCCGACTTTGTTTAAAATTTTCTCCCAATCACTTGAATATGGATTTCGTCGGTTTTAAATGTAACTTGAAATGGATATTTATATAAAATGAAATATATAATGTGTATAATATATTATAATATTTATATTTATTTATATAATTAACTAAAAAATCAATTTTAAGAGCTCAGTATTAATTTTAATTTAATTTCCCGCTGAGTCAACTCAATTGAAGTTGCTTTAATTTTAAATTTTTGAGGAGAAGTTACACTTCAAATTTTATTGTGAATTGTGCCAAAATTCATTTTGATCTCAAGTGAATATCAACCTTACTAGAATTCATGATTCAACAACACTAGCAGCATTTTCAAGCATATATGCTTTTGTAACATTAGTCTTTTCTTTATTTTTTGTTTGTTTGTTTTACTAATGGTCCCTTTTTAAGTGTTCGTTATTATCTTACTTCTAGTGATGAACATCAACAGTTCTGAGTTTACTGCTTTTCTTCAACTTTGATCTGCTTAGATATTTTCCACGGTGATTCATTCTTAAACTGCTTTCAATAGCAAGGCATATCGTGAATTTTTAACATTTTGTTTCTTCAAATATCCTCACATGGTTTGAAATCAACTAAAATCAACTTTATTGATTCAAAATTACTCGCATGGTTTAACTTTACTAATAAAACTATTTATAAAGAAGAATTGAAAAGCAGTGTCCAAATTTCTTCATTAAAAATTACTCGCTACAATATTTAATTGATTAGTTATCAAGTTCATCACCTCGATGTGAATTGTATTAGAGGAACCCTAACACATCATCAAATTGAAGAGCTGTGTCATGTTGTTTACCTTTTTTAAAGTAAGATATTTTTCATACGCTTGATGGCATCTTCATCAATCCCTATTTTAATCTTTTTAATTTTGATATTGGATGTGGCTGTCGGTTTGATCATTATAAGAATCATTTCTAGGGCTTGTTTGAATAAGATATTCAGTCTTTATTTCTCATCCACTGTGTCTTCTTTCTGAGATGAGATTGATGATCCTTTTTAGTAATCTTTGAGTTACATTATACAAAAATATAAAATCACTCTTTAAATTTGTCAGTTTCTGCTTTTACTGTTATAACTCTAATTGCATTTTAAGAAATAGGATTTCATATCAGTTGTAAGGAATGAATTGAAAGAAAATACAAAAATATCTTGACACTGAATTTTTGTGATTTGGATATTAATTTTCATACAACTGAGGTCAACACGCCAACATGGATTTTACCATTTTTCTTATATAACAAGTAGAGAATTAGGCACCTTTCAAATGTTAGAATGTTTAGTGCATTCAGGAAGAATAAAAGCAATCTATATTTAGCTTCAAAAATTTCTTATAAAATTTATCTCTAAAATATTCTATATTTGAATCCGTTTCAGCATAAAAATCTTCATTAGAATAAGACTTCAAGGTGGATCTTGCTTGGTAAATATTAGACATAATGTCAGCACTCTCCAACAATGTGATTGCTAAATATGCATGCACCATGCACCAACAATTCTTTTTGCCCCTCCAAATTTTCACATTGTACTTCTTCGTTAACTCTTCATATGATGTTTTCTTTTGAAAAGCTACTTTTTAATTTGATGTTTTATGGAGAACCTTATTTTTTTATTGGTTTTATTAGAAGAATTCCTTTATATTTTGCCAAAATTATCTTAAAACTTCACAAATATGTGCTTATGTCAAAAAATAATAGATCTGAAGATCTGATAGCTAGGTTCCTGTTGATATAAACTTGCAGATGAAACTTTAGATATCAAAGAATTGCTATAATTTTTTTTTTTTTTGGAAATTTACATACAGACCACACAAATCTTATGTATTTATATATGTAACACTAAACATTTGACATTTACATTTATAACACTTTGGTGTCATAGCCTATGGATCAAAATGTGTATTTCTCCTTTAAAATACTAATAATAGTGATTTGAGTGTTATGTATATAAATAAGAAAGTTTAAGTGTTAGATATGTAAATACATAAGAATTATGTGGTATTTATGTAATGCCCCAAATTGTTTTGGTTTAGGAGTAGAACATGGATCCGTGCAAGAAAATTTTTTTTATTTATAGTTTGTTATTGTGGTTGTTATAAAATCTCATTTGGGATGATTAGGAGTGGTTTTTTTGGAAAGCGAGGTCAGAATGATAGATGCAGAAACGAAGCCTGTAGAAAAATAATAGATGATTCTCTCTCTGTTTTTTTTTCCTTGATACTGAAATTGAAATGCAACGTGATGTTACAGAGATGTAACGTAAAATGCAGTTCTTCTATTAGAAATTTTAGATTGTGCTGCAACTTCTAATAGAAACAAATGACATGATGTAATACATTTAACTTGGTTCTTGCTGAAGCAGTATTCTTTTCCTGTGTTCAATCTCTCGTATCAGCAAACCTTCCATTAAAGAAATGTTTTAATGACCAAGTATAATGGTTCGATGTTTTCATCTGAGTTCGGCATTAATTGATTCTTGTACCACTTGCAAAATTTTGAAGTTACAGTTTATGGGGGTCTGGATGACCATAGTAAACGTTTCTGTTTAGGTTTCTAAATGGATTTTTTTTTTTGGTTGTATGAATGTGAAAATTTTTCACGTATGGACTTTTCAATCTTCTCTCAAATTATAGCTGCACTCTGAATAATAGCCAACATCACTGTTTCAACTGAATTTGAACTAATGCTAAAAGTAACAGATTAATTATTCTTTCAGTGGAACAGTAGGCTGTCTCATATAGCTGGAGTAAACATAAGCCGTCTTATATAAAGAAAAAATTGTTTCCACTTTTATCTATCTGATACAGAAACATGTTTTTAAGGGCTTAAATTCAGAGAAAGGCTTCAAGCAACAGCTTCCCTCATCTTCTGTTGTTTCCTGAGGGTACCACTACAAATGGGAGGTTTCTTATCTCATTTCAGCATGGTGCTTTCATACCTTCTCTTCCTATCCAGCCAGTGGTGGTCCGATATCCTTTTGTACATTTTGATCAGTCATGGTAAGAACTAAGAACCAAACAAATTTGTCCCAATTTGATCCTTTCATTCATTTTTAGTTCCTTTAATTTAATTTAGGGGACACATTTCTCTTGCCAAGCTGATGTTCAAGATGTTCACTCAATTTCAGAACTTTATGGAGGTACATGTGCTGCTTGTATTTTAAGTACTTTTTTTTGAGTTATCTGCAGTCATATCTTTGATAACTTATTGAATAATTTCATTCTAGCATTGGCAGGGCATCTTAATGGTGCTGTGCTGGCAAACAACTTCTATTACTCTTCCATTTTTTTTCCCCCATTCTATCAATCATGAATGTGACTTAGATGTACGAGAGGGAAAATTGGGATTTGAAAAGATTTTGAGATGTGTAATATAAATATAATAGGATGGAATGCGGTAAAGAATTCATATAATTTGTGTGGAGGTGCCAGCTGGTCCAAGCTAGTAATGACCTTAGTTGTTACTATGTTCTTATGTTTGATCCCCACCCACGTGATAATGATTCTTATTATGCATTTTTGTGTGGTGGGTGTGTTGGGGGAAGAGGCATTAAAATTCATTTGATTTTCCAATTTTTTGCTTTTTGATCAAGCATGATCATAATTATCATTAATGAATGAGGCAAATATTGTGCTATTATGTTATGTTCTTAATGGTTACTTAAAATGGCTGAAATTTTATGAACATGCCTTACTTTACATTTTGAATAAGATAGATAACTTTTATTTGCAAAAATTATCCAAAATTTTATTTTTTAGCTTAGTTAAGCGCACATTTTTTTATGTATGATAATTACTTAAGTTATTATAAAATTTATTATTTTTTTAATCATTTTTAATATGGTATATCAATATTATTTAAGAAAATGATATTATTTTATTAAATGATTGTTTATGAATATATATATATATATAGAAAAAGCCCAAGGACAAATATATTAATACGAAAAAGATACAACAATGTTGCATGAGAGGACCTAAAAAACCTAACTCGTACAACAAAACACACACAAACTCAATTAAAGAAAAGATACTTAAAGGAAAAAAAAAGAAAACCAAAAAGCTACAAAAGGGCACAAAAGTGCTAGGGATGTCCCATTTTAGTCCTCCCGCCTCTAGTTCTCGGAAGTGAGATCTCTTTCAACAAATACTCTGGCTTCAGAAGGACGAGACAAATTAAAGGTAGGAATGTACGTCTTGAGTGGCTTCCCATAAGCTGAAGCAATAAAGTACAATATTTTTTGAGAAAAAAAATGAAATTTCAGACGAAAGAGACGAATCCAAACCAGAATGATTGGCGGTTCCGTCTGTGGGTCAAAATCCACAGACCATTTCAGAATCTTCATTGCTCTGTTATCAATCCATATTATCCTTCTAGCAAATAAACGCATGTAATCTTCTTCATTGCTAATTTTTTGAATAAGAATGTGTCAAGAATGTGTCTCCCATCTAATAGTCTAATTTTTCATTCTCCAACAAGGTGCATAAGTTCAAATTCTTTGCGAATGAGTTCCATTTTGGGATGACCATATCGAAATTTTCCAATCAAATTCAGACAACAGGAGGAAGCAAGTTGAATACCTTCAGCTTCTGTAAAAAAGATACTTCTCATTCTTTCTACCAGGTTTCTTGATGTCCTTCACCCACTCAAACGAAGGAGGGAAAGATGATTTATGTGTGCCTGAGGCGTGGACATCGGGAAAGGCAGTTGCATACGATTTGTCCGAAGCCATCCTCAAAGATAGGTGCGACGTTTAGAGAAGAAAGCAGACAAGTTGAATACCTTCAGCTTTTGTAAAAAAGATTGCAGACTTCCCATTCTTTCTACCAGGTTTCTTGATGTTCTTCTATCACTCAAACGAAGGAGAGAAAGATGATTTTGGTGTGCCTGAGGTGTGGATACCGGGAAGGGCAGCTGTATACGATTTGTCTGAAGCCATCCTCAAAGATTGGTGCGACGTTTAGAGAAGAAAGCAGCCGAGGGAAAAACCGCGTCGAAATAGCCGAAGCTACAAAAAGGACGACGCGGTGAGACGGGACGAGCGCAGAGAACGCAAAAATCGCTATCACGAGCAGTCCCCGCAAGAATGAGCCGCGGAACACGCGAGCGGCGAGACGGGCCGCAGAGGAGCAGAATCGAGCGCAGAGCACTCGAGCGGGAGATGAGCCTCGTTTCAGAGTCGGAGAAGCAGGGGAGACGAACAAAATCGAGCACGAAGATGCCGAGAGGAAACAACATTAAACTGGCCTATGAGAAGGAATTAGTGGGGGTTTTGGGGGGAAAGCTTGAATGTGTTTTGTTAGGGTTAAACACCTAGGATTTGTGTTTATGCTTTGATTCATGTAGTTTCTTTTGGTCTTTTTGTTTCTAGAGGAGTCTAGGATTTGTAGAGGGACGATCTAATGCACATCATCCATTGTATGATGTTTTGTTTTTTTTTTTTTTTTGATATTAATCAAATTAGCCCTAATTTGGGCTTTCCCACCTTTTGCTTGAAATTTGTTTGTTGATTTTGGCTCCAATTTGTATTAAATTGATATCTGGGTAAGATCTTGGAGAGATGTCAACAAGGAAAGTGGATGCTTGGAAGCGAGATTGGAAGGAGAAGTAAAACAACTTAAATATAAGATGGAAAAAAGGTTCTCGACCATAGAAATAAAAATTTCTTTCATGAAAAATCGATCTGAGGGCCAATGCAAGAGGTTAAAGAAGTTGATGATGAGACTTGTTGAGTTGCAATTCAAAATTCTATCGGCGCCTCTAATTGCAACCCTAAACACGGGTTGACCAGAGAATTTTTAGCCAAATTGAAAGGGAAACATATCAGACAAGAGGAATACGAGGAAAGTGTCCATAATCAAGAACCCCTTTCTTGGGCTCTGATGGGTGGTGGATTAGAGATTTTCGATGGAGGGGTTATGTCGAAATAATAGGAAGAGATTATGCAAGGGGTGGAGGAGCACGAAAAAGAAAGAAGAGAAGTTGGAATGGGGTATGATTGCGCTCAAAAGAGTGATTTTCACCTAGATACATGGTGGGAACCATTGGAAGGAGAGGAATTTGGGGTAGAGATGTCATGATTAGGAAGTTGGAAATGTTGATCTTCAAGGGGAAAGAGGCGCATGGTTGGGTATGTTGGGTGGAGCAATATTTCATTGCGAATGGACTAAATGGGGAGGAGAAGCTCATGACCTCAGTGTTATGTTTGGAGGAAAATACCCTAGCATTGTTTCAATGGAGGGAGGCTAGATATATGATCCACTCGTGGGAGAAATTTAATAATGGTTTGTTAGAACATTTAGGAGCCTTTCGAGAAGGATACCTACACGAGCAATATTTTACTTTGACTCAAGAGAGAATTTTCTTAGAGTATGAGAAACAATTTAAGTAATTTTCGGGATGACTGAAAGGGATTACTATATTGGAGAGAAACTTCATGAAACTTCTAGACCCCGATAGACGTGCAACCCTTAGACTTTTGAGGTTGTTGGGATTGGGAGATACGATGGGGCTAGTCCATATGGTGGAAGACAAGAACCGGCTGGAGAAGGCCATCAAAAGTACCATGAAAAGATTCCACAAGTGTACCCTGACAACCATGAAACCGAGGATCTAGACGGTGACTTTTCAAAATAAGGCGCCGAAGGAGAGGAATATGGGCGTCCATCCCGAGGTCAATTATAGATGCCTTAGAGAGGCAGATGTGCATGACAATAATGCAAAAAGATTATGTTTGTGCTGTTAGGAGAAGTATGCACCAGGCCATCTGTGCAATGTTCGTACACTCCAGGTCCTTACAATTTATTGTGGGAAGGAGGCAGTGGTGAAGAGTTGGAGGAAAAAAACGGTGAAGAGAGAGGATCACTTACGCTTGGATGTAGCGGAGGTTTTCCTCAACTTAATAGTGGGGTTTGCTCCAAATCACACCGTTAATGTGAGGGGACAAATTGGGGAGAAGTCTGTAGTGGTGTTGGTGGATAGGTACGCTCAGAACTTCATCCTAAATCAGATTGTAAACTAATTGGGTTGAAGTTGGTAGATACGGTAAGTTTTGAGGTCATGATGGGGATAGGGAAGGTGGAGACAAGCCAGGGAATTTGTAGCAGATTGGTGTTGACAATATAGGGCATACAGGTGATGGAGGACTGCCTTTCCTTGGGCCTGGGAAGTACTGATGTGATTTTGGGGATGAAGTGACTACAACTGATTGGAGAGACGAAGGTGGATTGGAAATCTCTAACTGGGGAGGAAGGTGGTGTTGAAAGGGGATGCTTTCTTGTGTAGAACCATGGCCTCCCTCAAAACCATGGTCAAGACAATACTAGGAGTAGGATTGAGTTATTTGGTGGAGTTGCAGAGTCTAGAGGAGTTTCGGGATCCAAAGTCAGATGAGTTCCTCAAGTGTGTTCAACAACTTCTTCTATTGGTTTCTAAAATATTTCAATAGTGGTGGGTTACATCCAATGAGGGAGCGCGAGCATACCATTACATAGAAGGAAGTGGTTCCTTCTATTAGTGTCAAACCATTTTGATATCCCCATATTCAAAAGGATGAGATAGAGATATTGATCAGGGAGATGCTCGAGACGGGGATTATCTCGCTCAGTGTGAGCCCTTTTTCCAAACTAGTTTTATTTGTAAAGAACAAGGATGATAGCTATCAGTTTTGTGTTGATTATAGTACTCTGAACGAGGAAATCGTATTTGACAAGTTTGCTATTCTGGTGATTGATGAATTAGATGAGATTTTTTTAGCAGTGGGCAGTCATTTTCTCGAAGATTGCTCTAAATCGGAATACCATTAAATTAGGATGAAGCCAGCTGATGTGCACAAGACAACTTTTAGGACTCTTGAAGGATATTATGGGATTTGGGTGATGTCATTCGACTTTACTAACCCTCTTTAAGGATCACTTACACTTGGATGTAGCGGAGGTTTTCCTCAATTTAATAGTGGGGTTTGCTCCAAATCACACCGTGAATGTGAGGGGACAAATTGGGGAGAATTCTGTAGTGGTGTTGGTGGATAGGTATGCTCACAACCTCATCCCAAATCAGATTGTAAACTAATTGGGTTGAAGTTGGTAGATACGATACGGTAAGTTTTGAGGTCATGATTGGGATAGGGAATGTGGAGAC